ATGATGGATAGTGGTTTGGCAATTTCATCCGCCAGCTCCCTCAGGACCTGTGGATGTATCTCATCAGGTCCCATGGACTTGTGCACCTTCAGGTTCTTTAGATGGTCTCGAACCTGATCTTCTCCTACAGCCGGCAGTTCTTCCTTCTCCCAGTCACTGCCTTTGCCTTCTGCAACTTGGGCAGCGTGGCTTGAGCTCTTGCCAGTGAAGACTGAGGCAAAGAATTTGTTAAGTACCTCAGCCTTCTCTATATCCTGGGTCACCAGGTCTCCCAGTTTCTTCCGGAGGGGGCCCACATTTTCCCTAGTCCTCCTTTTATCATTGACCTACCTATAAAAGTTCTTCCTGTCACCCTTAACATCCTTGGCCATATTTAATTCTATTAGGGCTTTAGCTTTCCTAACCTGCTCTCTGGCTTGATGGACAGTTTTTCTGTATTGTCCCCAGGCTACCTGTCCTTGATTCCACCCTCTGTTTGCTCCCTTTTTTTGTTTGAGTTTGCTCAGGAGCTCCTTGTTCATCCATGCAGGCCTCCTGGCATTTTTGCCTGCCTTCTTCTTTGTTGGGATGCATCACCCCTGAGCCTGGAGGAAGTGATCCTTGAATATTAGCCAGCTTTCTTGGGCCCCTCTTCCCTCCAGGGCTTTATCCCATGGGACTCTTCCAAGCAGGTCCGTGAAGAGGCCAAAGTCCGCCCTCCTAAATTCCATGGTGGTGAGTTTACTGTGTGCCCTCCTCACTGCCCTGAGGATCTTGAACTCCACCATCTCATGGTTGCTGCATCCCAGGCTGCCCTTGTTCAAAAGAAAGTAACAGTAACCGCCACATAATTGATGAAAGACTTGAGCCTGCGTTTCCAAAATCTTGACCAGAAAGCCTCCTCAGATGCCTGAAGCTCTGCAGCTGCTCATGACCATAGGCGTTACCGTTACGGGTTGCCTGAGCATCTTGGGACTCATGCCTACACCTGTTGGGGGGGGTCACATGCTTCAGGAAGCAATTCAATATTCATGAGTCTAGAGAGGAAACAAAACCGTAGAGAGTATGTAGGGAATGTTTGCCAGGAAAGTGAGAAGGGGATGGAGTTCTCGATGCTGATCTAAGGAATGCTTTGCATTTTACTTTAAATTAAAAAACAGAAATAGCATTGTAAGTAGGGGTCATTGTGCAAACTCAGAACCAGCTTGGATGTCTACGGTGCTACTACATGGTGTTGAGTAAACATAGCCAGAAACCTCAAGTGTGGGTTTGTTATTTTACATCTAGAGCCAGGTGCCGAACACTGCACCAAACTCTACTTGTGATTTGCTGGGATGAGGGAATTTGCTTCCCCTGCGGTTGAACCCACCTTACCCTGCTTTTCTTTGTTTGATCCTTGTTGCCCCAATTAATTAGCTTTCTTCTATTCCTTGTTCACATTCCCTTGGCCCAGTCCCTTGAATAATTGACAAAACAGAACAGAAGCTGTGGTTACTGTGTGGTACTAGCTGTGGCTCAGTTTTGTTTAAAAATACTGTGTTACTCTGTGCAACAAATTATGACTAACTGCCTCTCCACTGCTCTGCCAATCTGTGGAAAGGCCAGCATCACAAAACGCCAAGTCAGAGCTCCCCGCTGAATCTCTGTAAGCTTAGATAAAAGTAGATTTTGGTGAATGAGGTCTGACTAGTAGGTGTTTTGATGAAAGAAATGTGTTCATCATTGACTTCTTTTCAGTGCTGAAGTTTGCAATTTTCCCCTGAGGTGTAATGTACATGAATAGTTTTGACTCTGCAGATCATGTGAAAAACTCTTCCTCCTTGTCTTTCTCAGCAAACAAAAACTGCATTCGTATGAACTCGTGTAATTTCTGTTATTTGGTTTATCATGTGTGGATTTGAATTTTTATTTTAATCAATTTAATATAATTTATCCCTTTCTTCCTTTCTTTCTTAGTGCTAAAAAGTACACAATAGCTTTTTAATATTTAATTGACGAGATCGTTTTACGGGTTTTAGTTTAAACGTAACCATAGCACAAATGCATTCATTATTAACTGCAGAATGGCAGTGTAGCTTCTTGGGAACCCTCTTTAGTTTAATATGAGAACCCCTGTCAACAGAAAACAGCACTGATATTGTTGTTAAGTGTGACAAACTGGCAAATGCAATGGGCACCACGCTGGAACAATGCAAACTGCTTATGTCAATGGAAGAGGCAATGTTTAAAAGCGGCATGAAGGTGGACAGTGAGAGGCTGTCGAGGAAGGTTCGATTCCGTGTTGCATCCTCGCACAGTGGGAGGGTGCTGAAGGAGGTGTATGCCGATGGAGAGGCTGCCGACTCTCTGGACTCCGAATATGCCAGTAGCTCAGAGACTGACCAAACGAGCCGGCTGAGCGAAGTGGACGGGCAGCAGAATGGACATGCAGGGTCTGAGTGCGATGAAAACGAGAACGAGCAGGACGACTTGCTCATTTTAGTCAGAGCCACTAAAGAGAGGGGGTTTGGTACAAAGCGAGTCAACATCCTCAGCAAAAATGGCACAGTCAGGGGAGTCAAGCATAAAGTCAGTGCTGGTCAAGCCCTCTTTGACAATTTGGCAAAGGTATTTCAGGTAGGTGATGCAGTTCTGCTGGCTGTAAGTCCTGTCTCTGTCCCTTGTAACTCCCCATGTTATTCCTTCCCTTTGTCCAAACCTCTCTCATTTATGGTTTTTCAAACTCTGAATTCAATTCTGCCTCATTCCCACTGCTGCCCTCTTGCTGTTCTTGCTTAGTCTTTCTGGTGCACACCAGCTCCGCTCTCCAAATTGACTGAATTTTTTCTTTCAAAATTGACCTAAAGTTTGCTGACTAGAAATGTACATGTTGTGCTTCCCATGTGTAGACCAGGAAAGAAACATAACAGAGGAATTAACTGGGGCTTTACTGGAGATCTGTACAGATCCTCTGTAGGGGGATGTGTCATGTTTCCACTCCTATTATATTAGTTCTAATGAATTTGCGATGTTATCTACTGTACCCTACATGTAAATATGTATACTTGCAAATTCTGTTGTGTTTAATCTGCAAAGTAGATCAAATTAGATGCAGGATGGCAACAGTGATGGTTTTCCCACATGAAAATTTCAGAGGAATGAAATGTTAGTCAGAGATCTCTTTTATTAATGTCTTTTTTCCATTTATTTTGTAGAAGGAGCAGAATATCTGTATTTGAAACAGTATATGCCACACAGACACCTTAGGCAGAGAATGATCTAGGTCTAGATGAGCGATCTACAGAAATAACTGTATATTCTTACCTTAAGCATCTACTGGATCAAAGACATATATTCAATAGTACAGAGACCATAATGATTTAACTGGGCTTTGTTAAGCTGGGCAGTCAAGACCTTTGAGGTTTTCTGTTCAGATACCTGTGCTAAAAGCACTCATGTGTTTTAATGTTCCATGTAAGATTTGGGTTTTTGAATATTTTTTCCACATTTTCTGACTACAGCCTTTCTACGGAATTGGTTCAGACAGTTCCTTCACACAACAGAGTCATCTGAAAAAAAAGTATCACACCTTCTTGAGTTTTTGGGAATTTTCAGAGAGTGATGTAACACAGGAGTTGTTTCTAGATTAAAAGGTGTTTCCAGTGGCTGTTATCTGATACAAGCCTGGTCTGAGAATGTGTATCTATTACCAAGTAGATGTGTGTCCCCCTGCTACATCTTCCCACGTCCATTCACCGAGCACTTCCATCACCAACACAACCAGTGACTTCCCATTTCCACTGTTGCTTGAGAAGAAAAGCTGGGTCCCTTGTGTTAGGCTGTCTGTCTGTGTCCCCAGATGTGAGCTGCTTCAGCGCTGTGACAGTAAATCAGATCAGCCCTGTACGGCCGTGGGGATGGGGAGGGACAGAGCAGTGCATGTTGGGGGTTATCTCAGCTTTATGGCAGGGCATTGTGGGGGCAGAAAGGTGGGGACCAGCCCTACTGATGCTGCAGGGGAGCATGGTTTCCATGGCAACCCCTCCTAGGGCTGGATGTCACCGGGAGAGCGTTGACATAGCAACCACATCCTGGGAGGGATGAGGGGGTGCTGCTGTGGCCGTGCTCCCCCAGCCACAGCCTGGCGGGGAAGGCGGAGGCTGGTCAGTGGTCATGGGTGGAGGGCCCATACTTCAGTTGTGAGAAATGTACACTACCCAAAAGCCTGAATAACAGAAAGGATCTGCAGGTCCCAGTCTCCCTGTTTGTGCACCAACTTGGTATAAGTGAAATTATCTCCTTTTTTTTTCTGAAACTCTAAAACTGACGGTGTCGCAGCTCTGGAGCTGGGGGTGTGACCTGCTAATTGCATCAGAATTATAAGCCCTTTCTCTGCACATCCAAAGTAATTATGGTTTTATTTCAGTACATTACTAAAATTTTTATTTTCTAATCCTTAGAATACTGCTAAAATGTGAATGGGTTTGAATATTTTCTATATTTTCCCATAGAAAGTAGCAGAGAAATGGTTCTCATTTCCTTGAAATCAACGTAATTCTCTTCATGACCAAGTTTTATGACTAGGACATCCCTATAATGGCTTCCAGGTGACACAGAGCAAAAATACTTGGGTTGTCAGGTATATTGCTAAGTAGTACAATGATCATTTCATGCCAGACCAGTTTTCCATCCCAACGTGCAGTGTAATGGAGCTCAGCCAAAGGTTTTACACAGGACTTCACTCATTTCCACTGCTTCAGCACAGGTCCTTTTCTCCATTTCCATACTTACACACTCCACTGGCCTTCCAGCCTCCCTTGAAAGGTCATCTTCTGCTAAATTAGCTACACATTTCATTCTCAGGCAGGGCCTGCTGACTTCTATTACAAAAAAGCAGGCCTGGTTAACAAACCTGATTAATGCCTTTGTGAACATTGCATCAGAGGGGATATGGGTGAAGAGTCAGACACAATGTACTTGGTCTTTACAATATTTTCCAGCACAGTGTCTCAGGTAGAGCAAATATTTAAGGTTGCAAAGTGCAAGTCAATATTCAGCCTGATAAAGAATTAGCTTATTAACGTTTAGAGAGAGAGGTGGGAAAGAGGTAAGGATGAGGTGGAAGTTTTTTAAGAGAAGGAGAGCTTCTGGGTTGTTTAGATTCACTTTCATTTTTCTTGTAGGTGACCTGGAAAAGTGAATACACAGTGAGACATGCAGAGCTTACAAACCAGTAGGGTCAGCTAATACCATAGAGAAAATAAAATGAAAGACAGAAGCAAAACCAACTGTATTCCAAAGAAGGCAGATGCTGCAAAGTGCTGTTAGGGAAAGTTTCTGGTGTAATAGCACAAGCACAGGTTTTAGGGTGGGTGGCATATTGCATACCAGTGCAGCTGCTGGAGCATATATCACTACAATCCCCAAAACTCTGAGGAGAAGAGGAAGGTCTGCACTTTCCCTGTAGAAGTCACGATGCTGTCCTCCTCACTTCTCTGGCAGATGATCAGGGCTGACACTCCAGCATCATTAGACTCTTTGAACTCTAAGACCTCTGCTAACACTGGACTAAGATTGTAAAAGTTCTCCTGAACTTTTCCTTCATATTCTCATCCATATGCACTGCTCTATGACTCACAAATGGGCAGAGCTTGCAAAAGGAAAAGATGTGCTGGATTGCTTGTGCCTACTAGTAGCAATATCAGGGAAACCTGCTGATAACCTAAAGCCATAGCAATTGCTGCAGTAATGTCACTTATATGGATGCAGATAAATCCCCACCAGGTGAGCTGTAGGTACGTCTTCTGAAGTATAAAGTTCCAGTGTATGTTCCTAGGGTTAGCGAGTCTGGAAAACTAATTATTGAATAGCATCACACTGAAATCCACTGAAGAATAGGAAAAGTTGTAATAACACAGAGGATCCAGTGATTATGAAAAGTTTCTGTTTGTTACAGAAAATTCAATGTTAAAACTGACAACTGGATCACCACTGGAACAGGCATAGTGTCCCTTCACCACTTCCTTTGTACCTTCCTAAGTGCTTTGATCTGTGACCACAGTGATTCAGCTGATTAAGTCACAGTTAAAACAGGTAGTTTCCAGAGCTGGTGGCTGAATAGCAACACCGATTTAAAAAGGAAGGTATTCAGGTCTGTGAACTTTCAGCTGGAGTCTGGGGTTGGTCAGTGCTTAGGATATTGGTATTTATTGTTCTCACGTTCTCATATAAATCAGGTCTAAAACACTGAGCTCAGACAACTGTAATATTAAACTGTTCGTGATATTTTAGGGTTTGCTGCTATTGGACTTGAAATACATATTTGACATAAACTTGAAATGATCAGTAAATAGACTTTAAACTATCTCAGCCTCTGAAAATGATATACAAGCTGTGAGTTAAATAATATTTAGCTGTCTAATTGTTTAAAAATCTAGGTAGGTGATGTCTTTACTTTTCAATACACTCAGCATTGGGAAGCTTAGCAATAAAAGCATGGTTATACTTATCACTTCTTCAAAATCGAATCAATAACTGAAGAAAAAAAAAGTTTAGACTTTTATGCTGGCAGTCTGATCAGCATGTACTGGACATCTGTCCAACCTTCCAGAGCACCGTGTGACCTCAAAATGATCCTTGCTCTGATGTATCTTGGTCTTTGTAAAGCATCCATAAATGAGGACGCTGTTCTTGAGACACTCAGCTGCACTGTATGGGGCTAAGCAGAGGCAAGCCCTGGAACAATAATAATTTCTGTTCTGTGTTTACATATGTTCCTGCTTCAGAGTATATAATAAGCAGGTACTATGACTGCTTCTTGAATCACACCTACATCTGCAGGTAAGTGAAAATTGTTATGACACTGAATTAAACTTCCCCACTGGCTGCAGTATTTTTATTTGTTTAGCATAGGTAGTGACTACATTATATGCAAGACTGCTGAGAAATGCTACACATTTCACAGTAGAGGTCAGACATTAGTGGCATGAACAGTGTGATTTTGAATCTGTGCACACCAGCCTTCCCTGAGACAGAGACTGAACTGACATTTCCTAGCAGGGGCCTGTGAAGCACACTGGAGCCTCAGGTATAACCAAACTCTGGTAGATACAGGATGGAAGCAGCAGTGTGAGTAAAAGATCATTTAGCGCTTCATTAGCACCTTCTCTCTTCTGTTGGTAGAAAACAACTTCTAACAACTGGCTGGTACTGAACAGAGCTGTCTCAGGCTCGCCACAGCTAGGGTCTGAGTGCCTGTGGTTCAAGCAGATTGTGCAGCCTGTAGGAAAAAGCAGAGCTGCTGCCCAGGGCTGTGAGGGAGAACAGAATTATGTTGTTCCCTCTGTGAAGTGTAAGCCACATGGCTATTTTCCCAAACAGAATGATTTATTAATAAGCCTCATCCCCTGACCTTATCCTTTGCATGACAAAGGGTGTCGCAAAGAAGCTATGGTAATACTTCAGTGAATATGTATATGCAGAATATGTAGTACTAGAGTGAATCAAGACTTTAGGTAGAGATTCAAAAACCGTAGGTTTATGAAGAAGGACTTAGCCATCAAGCTCCAAAATTGTGATCCTCAATCCTCCAAACCTCTCTTTGGTGCCACCTTGTCTCAAAGGCAGCAAAAGCCTTTTATTAATGAAAATTTGGCTAATGATTTGCTTTGGCTATGTGCCTCAGCATCTCAGTATTGACAGGACGTGACAGTTAACTCCTACTCATGTCCTATGGGAACCACAAAATAGGCGTTCCTTTGCCTGTCTCACCTGCAGGGCTTGATGCAGTAGGTGTCCTCTGAGCATGCCTAGTGGAGCAGATCCTACACAAACTGTACATAAGCAGATGCTGCTTTGTTACAAATCGTGTCTGCAGGAGACAGTGGTGGGTGTTGTACTTTGAATTAGATGGTCACAAGACAGCATGAATAAGTTACTGGAGCAGGAGTGGAACATGGGCTTGGTGATTCCCAACTTGCCATACTATGCTTCAGCATCATGCTGGACTTCCATTTCTTTCTTTCTTGCTCACTTTTAAGCATTATAGTGATGGCATTGCTTCAGCATGGAGGTATCCTAGAAAAGCTTGTAGGCTATGACTTGCTTGCTAGGGACAAGAGATAGAGAGGAGTCTGAATCCAGGCAGCCAAGATACCAGAGACTGCAAATAACCGTGTTCTGCCACCTTGTTTCATCCTCTCTCTTTAAATCTAAAAATGCATTTGCTTTCTTTTTGAAAGAAAGAACCAGTGTACTTGTTTTCAGGCAATGACTGTGAATGCCCGATGGAAAAAGATGCGTCTTGGTTGTACTAAGTGGGATTCCTAAATCGTATTGGCCTCAGGAAGTTCTCTGATCTGAAAGTAGTCATAAAATGAGAGAGTATTAGGAGGAAGTACCATATATACTTGCCATCCTCTCACTTTTAATTATCTGTCTGGTAGATGACCTGGAATACTAGACGAACACTGGGTCCAAACCTATGTACTGCTCTGTGTCTCTTACATAATGTCCCTTTGTGGAACTGCTCAATAAGGTGCTCAGCCTTTGAACTAACATGGAAAATGCTTCATCTTACTTCAAACTGACTTGAAAAAGAGTCATGTTACATAAACAGCCTATAAAAAAAAATCTTAGGATGCTAGTGCAGAAATGTTTTCTACTTATTCTAACAGTAGGAAATATTTTTTTTTCTGAATTGCCCTTTTACAACAGAGATGAAAAAAGATGAACTGATTAGTCTTAATCTTTAATCAGTAGCATTAACTCCTCACTTTTTCTAGCTGTGGAGCTCAGCTCAGTAGCTGAGCAGGACAATTAGGAGAAAATGTCTTTTGAATTATTCTTAAAACCAGGACCATCAAGAAAAGTTGGGGCTATTCCACTGTCTTTGACATGGTACAACAAGCTGCCTGCTAGCTCCTTTGTTGTGTCCTCCTGCCCCTGAATATCTGCATGCCTTTGACACAGCAAACACAAATTTTGTGAAACACTGCTGAAATAAATCACTTACAAATATGAACCATCCTATATGCTTAATTACTAGCATAATTCATGGTCATTGACCTCTAATTTTTGTGTACAAATAAATTACTTTTCAACCAAATATTTAAGGGTCCTCATTGCACCTGAATGTCTTGGGTGAAGTATGTTTTATCTGTGTTTACAAACATGGAAGCAAATATTTGTCTATGCTGGGTCTATTTGTCACCAGATTGTACATGTGTGCAGTTGTGCGATTGCAAAAATATGGTAATAAGGGGGATGAAACACAGCTCCTTATTTGAAACAAAAAAAAAATTCACAAGCATGAGGAATTATCTTTATCTTAGCGGTATGATTCTCTAGGCATCTACTAAAGCTCTTGATTTCATGTCATAAAAGGCATTAGCAGAAAATACTAACAAGTTAATTACATTACATTTCCATTTAGTTTACAGATCTCAGAACTGTTTCAGTTCTGAACTAGGATTTGCAAATACTTGCACTAGTATTTGCAAACACAAGCTAGACAAAAATAAATGTACACATGCCATACAGGTATTGTGTTAAAATGACCCAGGAAAACTTCATTTTAGCAGTTGATCAAAACCGTGTTTCAGGAGTCACCTGCTGCCAATTCAATTGGCCTGTAGGCATCATTGAGAGCTATTTCCTTCCCTAAGAGAGAGGGAATGAAGTTATGCTTTATTTGCACGTAACGCATGCTAGACTACTCTGGTCTGTCAGTGGCCTGCTCTGACATTTGACTACTAGTGTTGGCAGTTTATTATACACTGCACTGACACATGGTAAATATTAACAGCTTGAAAGAAATAAATGGTCAAAGAGATTATGCTTTTTTTTTGGCTGGAGTTTTAACCTGTGACTGCAGTGTTTGGCAGCATCATGTTTGCAGCTTAAGTGCAATAAAACATGCTTCAGATGGAATTCGCATCCAGAGAGAAAAGGGTATGCCTCTCATATGCATGAAAACCTTCCTCATTGCTGGAACATCCAGTACTAGGTAGTACAAAGCATGAAACTCAAATCTCACTGAATTTTTCCAAAACTTGCGAGATAAATAATAGTTAGGACAGCATCCCCAGCCTGTTGATTTTGAAAAGGAGACGAATAAATACAGCTCACCATCCACACAGGCAATCTTGTGGTTTTGCTTGACACAGTAGTTACGTTCACAGCCTCCATCATGCAAAGCAACTGAAATGGTCATAGGCTAGCAGCTGGAGTCAGTGAGGTAGAGACTCATTTCATACACAGCAAGAAAGAAGACAGAAAAACCATCATTCATGATAGTATGAATTGTGGAAAACATTTTAATAACCTTAGTACAATTTTGCTTTAGAACTATATCTAGAGACAACATCCATCAGTAATGTCAGAGGAGTGTTCTATACCAGAGATATACCACATGCAGACTCGTTCCTTCTCCACTCCCGAGAAATATGTGAAAACTTAATGGCCAATGTTTGCACAAGTTTGTAACAATATCCGATGTTGTATCCTGCATTGACAAATCAGTAATGCTGGTGCAAAGGCAAAGAAATTTTTCTTTTCTGCTGGTAGCCTTGTTTGGAACATTACTGATTGCTAGTTATCTAACAAGTTTTAAAAATAGTAAGAACTGACAGCAGTCATACACCATTATTTATGAGAAATCTATTTCCCCATGCAAGCTCTGTAAGAGAGAAAGCAATCGGTTTCTAAACCTGCAACAGAAGTTACAGCTTTTTAAAGAAAATGTGATCCTTTCCTCCCTAGCTGCTCATGTCCTGCTCTTGGTTTACTACATCTAAATGCAAAGAACTCTTCCTCCTAGCCTCACAGGCAACGGTGAAGCATTTCATTGCTGTTCAAGTGGAGAATGTCATTGGAGACAGACTGATAGACCCAGTGAAAAATGAGACCTTCAAGCATTATTGCTGGAGTTCCTACCAGGTGTTGCAGGTCTGAATCTACATTTTGAGAATTTCCCTTTTCAGGTGTTGGCTGATGCTTTCAGCCAGATTCTCAAACATGTGGTGGATAAGCCCGGTTTTCTTTCAAATCCCACCATGATCCAAAAATATAACCACCTACTCAGTCTCTCCAAGTCCAGACTTAAGCTGTGTGAAGATTTAAAAGAGACAGCAGTTTCTAAATGACTTGTTCAGGATATGGATTCTGTTCATTTAAATCTGTCTGCAAAATTTTGCCATGACAGCTATTGCTTTCGTATCTGCTGGGTGATCAGGCCTTTTGCAAACCTATCTGCTTGGCGAATTATGTTCCCGTGGATCCTTATGTATGAGCCTGTGAGGTGGAAGGGCACTTTTACAGGCCAGTATTTGCAGCTGGATACAGCTGAATAATACTATTTTTTTTTCTACGGCCGCTGACTCCCGTAGCCTTGAACCATGTTGTTCCTTTAACCAGGCAGTTTTATCCTCAGCTGCTCCAGCAGTTCTCTTTTGAAGTCACAACAGATAAGGGCAAGAGTTGTTAAAAAAGGAGAGATGTCTCGTGAACCTTCTGAACTTCTTGCTGCAGAGGATTAAATGATGTCTATGTGAAGAAGCCACTGAAATGTTGCTCCAAAAGAAAAGCAGATAGTGAATTTAATCATCTCGGCATCTGCATTTGTAGTCCTTCCTTGATCAGAACACATTTAGCTCTATGACAGAATATAGATTCTAGCTCTGTTGTAAGAACATCATTTTATGACAAGTATGATTATAAGAATAACAACTTCTATTTTATTTTAAAAATACACATCTCTGGGACAAATCCTGAATCAAACTGCTTGAAATAAAGCTGCTCAC